AGCTAATTGGGAACTCGAAGCTGGCGGATCAGCGGATGATCTTTAAGCATAACCCTGTTACCCTAACCCTATTTTTCTCCAGTCTCCCACTACAATATCTCTAATTCAGCATAAAATTAATATGAATAAATGATAAAGAAAATTAAATAGCTTTAGTTAGAAAGATAGAACTGTGGGACTGTGGGACGCTGGGTCCCGGGAGCGGACTGCGGACTTCAGCGGAGACGGCTATCGGCTGCCTGCTGGCCCTGGCCGCTGTGTGTGTGTGTATATATACACACACATATATATATAATTATATATATAGATAGAGAGAGAGAATAATGGGTATGCTTGATACCAAGCACCAAAGGTGACCAGTTCTCATCCACTCATTCAATTATCCAACTCATATATCATGTGAATGTGGTTCCCCCTTTAAATAAGTTTATGAGAATAAACCACCTCGCCACTTTATGCTTGGTACTAAGCATACCCATTATTCTAATAAATACACGCGCGCACACACAAAATTACACAAACACATACATATGAGAAAAATGGGTATAGTTGGTACTAAGCACAAATTTGGTGTTTCGTAGTGACGTGAATGCTTCTCATCTACACAATTAAAGGTGTCCATTTAAAAATGGTCTCTACTTAATTACTCACTCATAAATGAGCGGATGAGAAGTGGTCACATCACTACCAAGTATACTCATACTCCTCATGTGTCTGTATGAGAAAAATGAATATGTTTGGTACCAAACACAAACTTGGTGTTGTGTATTGAGGTGGATGTATCTCAACCTCACACCTAATGTTATAAAGTAGAAAGAGAAAATGTGTCACATGGGGATGTACTTTCCATTTAACTAACCTCACTCACATCTATGTTTGAGATTCCTCTACCTCACTACCAGTGTTGTAAAACACGCTCTGGGCGGCCGCCTAGGCGCCCGCCTAGGCGGAGGCGGTGCCCAGAGCGTGTCGCCTAGCCCTGAGCGGCCACGTCTAGGCGCTGGGAGCGCCTAGGCGGCCGCCCAGGGATAAGCGGGCCGCTTAAGCGGCCCGCCCCACTTTTCCCGAACCAAATTTTGAGCTGGGCGCTCCCAAAAACCCGAACCTAAAAAAAAAAGCCTAACCCAAAACCCAAAACCCGATACCCAATACCCAAAACCCAAACTCAAAAGTAAAACCCTAATCTTCTATCTCACCTTCAGCCGATGCCGCCAGAAAAATAATCTGCGAGCTCGTCTTCGACTTGACAACTTCGGACCGAGCTCGTCTTCGACTCGACGACTTCCGACCGACCGAGCTCGTCTTCGTCTTCGACTCGTCTTCGTCTCCAACCGAGCTTGTCTTCGTCTTCGGCTCGTCTTCGTCTTCGACAGTTCGACTTCAGCCGATAGTTCGCGTCTTCGTAAAACTCTGATCCTCTTTATTTCGATTTCAATTTCCTTTTTTTTTATTCCGAGCTCGTCTTCAAGTTTTGGGTTCTCATTAATTTGATATTGTAGGCTTGTGTAACTGTGTTGATAATTTTTATTGGGTTCAAGTCTTAAAAAGGCAAAATCTGTGTTGAAACTGTTGATTGGTTCAGGTTTGATAGATTCTTATTACTTGTGAGGATAATAAGTTTAAAGAGAGATAGTAAGTTTAATCCGTTGATGTTTCAAGGAAATTAACTTAGTATATTTATATCATATTTAGTTTGATCGGCATTGCTCAAGGAAATTAACTGCTCCTAGCCTCCTATTACTGTCATATGCATTTATCACATGTTAACTTAGTATATTTATATCATATTTAGTTTAATTGTTTAAGTTTAGTTGTTTAATTGTTTAAGTTTAATTTTCCTATTTCAAATGAAAAAGTATCTGAGTGCAGTACAACAGAATATGCATCACCACGGTCCACAACAGACTTATGCTCCTTACATTTGTCTTTGTCATGTTCATTCTCTGCATTTGTTCAAAGCTTACAACTGTATATGCTATAATTGTGTATCTGTATTGAGTTGAGTGTTGAAACTATAATATTCATGCTCCCTACTTTTGGATTTGCAGCAAATAACGAATGAAGTTGCAGTTTTTGACCTACAAAATAGAACAATAATTAGTTGCGGTTTTTGAAGTTGCGACAATAACGAATGAAAATGCAGTTTTTGACCTACAAAAATAAGTTAACAGTAAGGGAAATTACACATGTGAGAGTTTATATATTTCTTGTTTTGGATAGCATATGTGTTGTGTTGGTATTTTTGTATTTATGCATTGTTGATTGAGTATATATATTTATCTTCAAGTATCACAATTAAAAAAAGAAAAACCGCCCAGAAGAAAAAAACCGCCCAGAAACCGCTTAGGCGTCCGCCTAGGCGTCTAAGCGCTGGGCGCCAAGTCCGGCGCCCAGGAGCGCCCAGCGTTTAATGTAACATTGACGACAGCTAATACACAATAGTTAAAATAATATAATAATTTACACAAATAATACATAATTAATAATTCAACATAATACATGAAATAATACATAATAGTAATAATAATATAATATATTATTTAAAATAATATGTAATAGTATCAATAATACAACAGATTAATTCTAGAAATTTTCACCGCACAAAATTAATTTATAAATATTAATATCATTAAAATAAATATAAAATCATATTTTTAAATCATAGAAAATTCTAGAAAATCGAGAAAATACAAATACTCTTTTTAAAATAATAATTAAATATTTTAAAATACCAAAAAATTATTTTGACTAGTATCAAATTTCATGGTCCTTACAGGTTTACATTTCAATTTAAACTATATCCTTATCTTTATACTATGTATATCCAATAAGAATTCATCAATTTATCAACTTACTCTTACCTAATGGATTAGTATTTCAATTTCAACGGGAGGTGAGCTGGCAGCGTAGGAAAATTCCTACGCTGCCACCACATGTCAATTTATAATTCGCTGGTTATAAATTAGCAATAAACAGTTAACATTCAGACTAATGCCAAAGTCAAATAAAACAAAGACTTAAATACAAAAAAGAAAATCTCACATCCTACGCTTCCTTCCCCAAAAAGACACTGCTTTCTTTTCCTCCTCCATCCTTCGTCGAGCTTTGAAAAGGAAATTCAACCAAACCCAATTCTCAAGAAGCAAGAAATTCATCCAAACCCAATCCTCCATCCCACGCATCCCCGTCCTTCATCGATCTTCAGGAAACTTAATGCTACCCTTCACCAATCTTCCTCAGGTATTTGCATCAATCTTTGAAGTTTTTTTTATTTTTATTTTTAAAGGAATCAACTTAATTTATATTTGTTAAAAGTTTGATATAGTTTAGAATTATGTGAATTATTAAAATTTATTTTTTAAATGAATCAACTTTAATTCCTGTGCGGTTGTTCTCCTTAATTCACAGACATATAGTTGATGAAATTACTATGATTTTAGCTCTTAATATATTATTCCTACAAATTTATGCGTTAAAGAGCTAAATTTTGGAGAATTATCATATACCTAAGTGGATGGTTTCAAATAGTCTTCCTAATCAAACTCATTATATAGTATAATTGTTAGTATTTCTTTTACACAGGACTCGAAGCAATTGTTTTAGGTAGTATAACTGAAACTTCATACTAAATACACAATTTCTTCTCACTAGATCCAACAGAGCTAGATGATGAACAATGAGAAGCAAATGAATCTACTGAATAACTCCATGGTGTTGCTTTCATGTTTTTTCTTTGAGAACCTCAGGTACTTTATCAATTGAAGAACAGAAAAGTTTTTTTTCTTTTATTTTTTTAAAGGAATCAACTTAATTCTTAGAATTTATGTGCTCTTGCACTTTCTTGTATATTTGAAATAACTGATAAGTTATTTTATTTTTATTTTTTAAAGGAATCAACATAATTTTTCCCACTGTCAGTGAACTTAAAATGTTAAAATAATGACATGTATCGATTTTGTCCCACTGTCAGTAAACTACTATGTTGATGAGCATGTCGAGTCTTTTTGCAAGAGTGTATTGAGCTTGTGCAAGGTGCACAACTTATAGATTTGGTTGTGGTTTGAAATGATTTGGATGTCGAACCTTGAGAAGTTTTGTTGCTTTCAATCCTTTAATTTAGTTGCAATGGTTTTGTAGAATTTTATACAGTTCTTGTTCTTTAAATTTTATATAAGAGCATAAAGGAGTTTAGCGTGTAGCTCTTTGGAACTTTGAAGAGGGGTTAAATTCAAGTTAAGGAACCACATTGCGTTCAAATTCTCAAGGGATAGATTCAAACCTTGGTTTTGTATAACAATGTGACTTGCACCTGTGAGCTCTTGACTCTTTTCATAATTTTGTGAGCTTCGTCTATGAATTTGATGTATGTATGATCATCTTGTTTCTCTTTTCTTGCAGGTGTAAATTGCAAATTACAACAAAGTAGTTTCTCAATCCAAGACATCAGAAACCTTAAGCATTAAACTATGCCTGAGAGGAAGTTGTGTCCCAACAATCTCTATGGTGTCATTTCTTTCTATTTTATTTTTTTATTTTTTATTTGTCACTCTGTGGTAGTCAATTTTCTTTGAAGTTTTTTTGTCAATTGAGCTATGTAGACTGTTGAGAATATTAGACCATCCTTGTGCTGAATGAGACTTAGTTTTCAGGTATCTTAATTTCCCCTGTTAATACTAGCAATGGTATTCTACTAGTCAACAGATTTTTTCCATCACTGTTTTTCTATCTATAGTTCCATAGATCAACAGCTTCAGATTTGTAGTGCTACTCTATACAGTGAATGAAAGAGGTGGAAATCTCTCTATTGTGAAAGCAATTGCTAAGGTTAACATACAAATTTGCTATTTGCATCGACTTTTTTATAATGTTGTTGTAGCCTCCTCCCTCCTCCGTAAATGATGTGCCTCAAAATAATTTTTCTATGAGGGCATCTCCAACCTTTTGCCTCAAAATGGTGCAAATTTTGCACCAAAATGGTGCAAAAGTCACATCTAACAGTAATTCATCTCCAACCCATTGCACCATTTTTTGCACCAAAAAGGAATATTCTCAGTATCTTTCTTTTTATCTACTTTTATATGATTATTTTTTATTCCCTATATTTTTAACTATTTCAACAATTAACCTCACATATCAAATTTTATTTTTTCACATATTTTCCAAACAAAATGATTTATTATTTAAAAAATTAAACTAATAAAACAATAAAATATTATATACCTATTATTAATATTGCCAAAATATTACATTCAAGAACACAACAGAAAATAAAATGTAAGAAAATAATTAAACATTAACAACAATGTAAAAATTACAAATTTAGTATGCTCTTAACTATCTGAATTAGTGTATTCCTCCCATAGATGATCTATCAATGCATTACGAAGCGCAATATGGACATCTTTATCCTTGATTTTTCCGTAACGTGCAATAAATTGAGTAAATTTTGTAGTTTCATCTGCTACCATATCAACTTCTGGTGTTGGTGCTTCCCTCACTTCTTGAATTGGTGCATAAATTGGTGCATAAAGATCACGTTCATCCTCGATTATCATATTGTGCATAATAATGCATGCAGTCATTATGTCATGTAATACATGTTTTTTCCAAAAACGTGCTGATCCTGCCACGATTGCAAATCGTGATTGGAGAACTCCGAACGCACGTTCTACATCTTTTCTACATGCTTCCTGTTTCATGGCAAAATATTTTTTCTTCCTACCTTGTGGCTGTTGGATTGTTTGTACAATAGTAGCCCATTTCGGATATATACCATCAGCTAAATAATAACCCATATTATACTCTTTTCCTTGAATAACATAGTGAGCGGGAGGAGCAATACCTTGAGCTAGGTTAGAGAAAAGATTAGATGACTCCAGCACATTGATATCATTATTGGTGCCTGGCATACCAAAATATGCGTGCCATATCCAAAGATCATAATCTGCCACAGCTTCGAGGATAATAGTTGGTGACCCACTACGTCCTGTGTATTGCCCAGACCATGCTGTTGGACAATTTTTCCATTTCCAATGCATACAATCAAGACTTCCTAACATTCCTGGAAAACCACGTTTTTTTTCCAATATAGAGTAGCCTAGCAATATCGTTAGCGTTAGGTGTTCGTAGATACCGCTCTGCGAATATTTCCACCATAGCACGACAAAATTTTGTCATACTTTCAATTGCTGTTGACTCACCTATTTTAACGTATTCGTCCGTAGCATCAGCTGGTAGACCGTATGCCAACATGCGAAAAACAGCTGTTACTTTCTGTAACGGTGATAATCCCATTCTACCAAGTCCATCACTTCGTTGTTGGAAGTAATAGTCATGATCTTTCACTGCATCAACAATACGAAGGAACAAACTTCTTGACATCCGATATCGACGACGAAACATATCTTCTCCAAAACGTGGATTATCGGCAAAGTAATCTATGACCAAATTCTGATGCGCATTTTCTCGATCGCGGTTGATCACTGCATGACCGGGAATCGAGCCACCATGGATCGGTTGGTAGTTGTGTTGACGTAAATTGTTAACGAGGATCATGTTGTTGTTGATGTACTCACAAATTACTTCTTCGGTTTCATCAATCTCTGCAATGATATTGGACAGAAAATTATCATCATCCGAAGATGAAGATGATGATAAGTATGATGGACCTCCAACATCGAAATTCATTTTTGAAGTAAGAAAAGAATGACTGAAGTATGCAGAAATGGAGAATAATAATTTTAACACAACAATGAGTAATTGTGTGGATGTACCTAATCTAGTATGCTATTTATAAAACTTTGCTTAGCTGTATACATTGAACAATGTGTAAAGTTGAGCTGATTTTAGGAAATGCTTTCCAGCTGTTATCAATTTGTCACAAAATTCAAATTTGCTTTTAGCTGTATACGTTGGATAATGTGTAAAGCTGACCTGATTTTAAAAATTGATTCCCACTCGTACAAAGCTTTCACACAATTCAAGGAGAGCTGAGCTGTGTATACGTTGGACAATGTGTAAAGCTGACCTGATTTTAAAAATTGATTCCCACTCGTACAAATCTTTCACACAATTCAAGGAGAGCTGAGCTGTGTATACGTTGGACAATGTGTAAAGCTGACCTGATTTCAAAAATTGATTCCCACTCGTACAAAGCTTTCACACAATTCAAGGAGAGCTGAGCTGTGTATACGTTAGACAATGTATAAAGCTGACCTGATTTCAAAAATTGATTCCCACTCGTACAAAGCTTTCACACAATTCAAGGAGAGCTGAGCTGTGTATACGTTGGACAATGTGTAAAGCTGACCTGATTTCAAAAATTGATTCCCACCGACAACGTTGGATAATGTGTAAAGCTGATCAGTTTGTACAAAATGATTCAATTTCAAATGTTGACCACCGACAAATTCAAATTCAAACAAAAAAAAAACAAATTTGGATTGGCTATAAATAACATTCACGGTTTCTACTTCAAGCCACCCAATTCGAAGTATTTCTTCAAAGTATTTCTGATCTCCAAACAAATCGCTTTTTACAAAAAAATGTCTGTTCGATCAACTGGATACACGGTTACTGAAGATGTGCTCCTTTGTCAAGTATTCTTGGATATTTCTCAAGACCCTATTATCGGTAGAAACCAGTCTCGAGATGCATTTTGGTCTCGTGTGGAGGACAAATACAATGAACTTCGAGATCAGCATTTTGAGATGCGTGTGAGCCGACGTTCTCGAATGGAAATCATAAGTAATGAAGTAAGGAAATTGAATGCGTGCTTGAGACAAGTAGAGAATCTGAATCCAAGTGGTGCTTCAGATGAAGATATTGTAAGTATTCTATTAATTATCGTCTGAATTTTATTATTATTGTTGAAATACATAACTTGATGTTCACTATAATTTGTAGTTAGTTCGAGCAAAGATGTTATTTATGCAAGAACCAAAGTACAAAAAAGGTTTCAAATTTGATCATGTCTGGAATATGGTTAAAAATTTTGAAAAATTCAAAGATGATGTCCCCACAGCAAGACAAGTTGGTCGAAGACAATCCCAAAGTGTGAACTTCGACTCGTCACAATCAGATAATCCCACTCCGGAATCTCCTATATCAACATCTCCTGGACTGTCATCATTTACTCCATCTGAACGACCTATTGGGGTAAAAAAAACTAAATTGAAAAGGAAAAATGATGATCATGAGTCAAGTGTAGTGGACTCCATCGAGACCTCCAGCAACCGACTTATAGACAGGTTAGACAAGGCGAACTTGGATAGGCAAGTAGCGTTTGATATCGAACGAGAAAAGATAGCCATGAAAAAAGATAGAGATGAATGAAAAATTATAATGAAAGATTTGAATTCCATTGCTGATCCAAACGTGCGTGAGTACGTTCGAGCTCAACAGATTAAAATAATACAAAAAAGAAATCAACAAGAACAAGGGTCTGCTTCTAATTTTGGCAATTATTTCAATGATATTGGACACTCTGGCCCCGATCTACCAGATTATTGAGAGTTGCTTGTCCATCTCAGGAAATGTTCCATGTTTAGTTTGTATTTTATGTTTTATTTTAATGAAGTTTTATATTATGCGTGTCAGTTTTTATATGTTATGTATTTCAGATATGTAAATTATATTTGAATTATGTATTGGGATTGCTCTTTATATTTCATGGGACTTTACTTAATATCTAGATTTTAATATTATAATTAATAATAATGTCTTTTAAATTTTAGCATTATTTTTAATTTTAAAAAATAATTTATTTTGTCCAAATTATACAATTGGGGTAAAATTATAAAATTTAAATATTATTGGGATTGTTTTATACATTTAATAAAACAATTGGGGTCAAATTGTAAATACATAAAAGTATGAGGTTAAACAAAAAATAATAATAAAAAATAATAAATGAACAGTAATGCGGTGATGAACAGTGCGACGCCAAATATGACGTCGCGCTGTTCATCACCGCTAAAATAGCGCGACAAATGCCGCTGGGTTGGAGAGGAATCGGAGCGGCAAAATGGCGTTTTGCCTCAAAATGACGCGAGGTTGGAGATGGTCTGAGAAGAAGTTCTGATAAGGCCACCAAAGTTAAATGCTAAGTCTGCAACATATGCATCAGATCAAAATTAGGGTTCCTAATAAAAAGAGGGATTTGTGTTTCTTATTAAATCCTTTTTCATAAGCGTCCAAAGAACCAAATTGGCTAAAATATATCCATTAATCATCCAACATAAAAAGAAATAGAAAACAAGCACTAATCATCGAATAATTCTGATCCAACACAATGAAAATAGATAACAAGTCTATAACGTTGAAACACAAGTGCACAAAGAGGAGCAACTATTTGAAACCAAATAGGAATGGTTGGAAATAAACTAGTTGAAGAGGATCCACATCTTCTCATTTGAAGCCTTCACAATTATCAAAAAAATAAATGCCCATTGATAGATAAATCTAGACTGTGGATAGTTCCAGATTCCCGAGTAAATCTACAACAAGTTCTCTGCAATAAGATAAAGATGAAATCCCATTAGGAAAGAGCACTTCAAACAAAACAAACCTCCCAACGGAAAGAGATGATTGAATGTTGAATGAACATTTCCAAATTCATTTATAATTCCTTAATGAAGAAACCACTTTCTTAAAGGGCCATCTTCGGATTTAAAGATGCAAGTTGAATAGGGTAGTTAGTGCAACTCTATCAAGTCTTAAGATTCTTGTAAATCAGAGTATATTAGAATTTGTTTAGCGAAATATCATGAACACTGTAAGGGAAAAACTAATAAACCTTGCTTATTGTTGTTTGGGATCACCAATTTTAATAAGACAAGAAGAACGATATGGCAATGTGCAGTACTTGCATCCTTAAGCTATTCGACATGGCAAACCAATAGAATCAGCTAGACCCTGCATATCAAATCAAACAAAATTATTTACCTGATAATACAAACACTCTTGCTATTTGCATTAATAATTTCATATTCAAAACCAACAAATCTAGATAAAGCCAATGTGAAAGGTATATGGTCCACCTGGGTTTTAAATTTGTTGAACTATGACACTCCTGAAAGCACCCTAATGCCACTAGGAAAGAACCCTAGAGGGGGCTGAATAGGATTTATGCTAATCTAATCCGATTTAATGTTAATTAAAAACTAATTAACAAATATCCTAGTAAATTAGATATACAACAAGATATATGAGCAAGTATATTAAACTAAACAATGGCAATATAAATATAGACAATATAGTGGATGAAATAAACAATGAGAGAATGACAATAAAGATGGACAAAAATATAAGTGCGTCAAGCCAAACTTAAACACAACATATGATCATGGAGTTCGGTCCCCACGACCTACGTCTCCGCTCCTCACCTCGAGGAGATCTTCACTATCACAACCGGGTTTTCTACGCTCACCCGAATAACGTTTACACCACACACTCGGTTTTCTAGTTCACCGAAAACTTTACAATCCCTCACAATGTAAACACACAAACTATCACATCAAGTGTTGGTCTCTAGCCCGTGTCTCTCTTAAGTGTTAGGAATTACAACCTACCTCTAGGCATTACCACCTACCCTACTCCTCTTGGGACGACCACGTCTCTCACCACACACTCCTCTCGGTGTACTAGTGTAATACAAAGTGAACCTCACAATAATAGCTCACAACAAATGATTGCTCTCTAAACAAGGCGAGAACTCAATTAAGCACAACTCAATGTTACAATCTCTCACAACCCAAATTATACTATGTATGTAAATACAATAAGCTCAATAAATACAATAAGCTCAATGGTTGTGTGTGTAAACAATGAGAAATAAATCAAAACTAAACTCAATATAAACTCTAGCTTAATAAAATAATAATCAAACAATTATATATAAATGCAAAGTTAGATTGAGTTTAGGAAAACTTCTCTATAGATAACAAGTTTGGGGTAAACCCATCGTCGTTTGACCCTCCGTCGAGCCATGTGAAAAGTTCTATTCATTCAAAACCGTTAAAATTGATACGAGTGGATGAATGGTCAAACGATGACGGGTTCATCCCAAACTTGGTGTGTTGGGGTTTTAGAATATGTAGATTAAGTAACAGTTATATACTTCTTACCTTTGGATTTTGAGTAAGATATATCACACTACTTCGACGCATGATTTGAATTTGATATGATGTTTGTCCGAAGTTACACACCTGAGTTTTTGAGAATTCAGTTCGAGATCTATATATGGACCTTGCAGTGTGTGATCTAAATTTAATTGCTGTGGAAGACGTAACTGTATCTCACATTTGACATTGGTTTAGATCATTGAAACCAAGAACGGGACATTTGCTTCGATAATTTGATGAATGCCACTTCCTTTGTTGTCAAATTTGAACTAAGGAATCTTTTGTAGATTTTTTTTCTTGAAAGTGAAAACGGTGGGCAGCTACGCCCGCGTTTTATTAAAAAAGGTTTAACAAAACAAATCCGAAAGCCTACAAGTATGACCTCATACAAAAGCAGCCAAAGCATACAAAAGCAACCGAAGCTACACATAGACTAACACAAGAAAACAAAAAACAAAACGCATGCTCTAGCAAAACTGACTAAGAATGGGTTTGGTAAGGCTTAATTTTTTAAGTTTATAAGCTATGCTAGCTTTTAGAAGCTTTTGGGTTTTATGATAAAAA